TGGGTGTGTGGGTGTGGGTGTGGGTGTGTGTGTGTGTGTGTGTGTGTGTGTGTGTGTGTGTGTGTGTGTCTGTCTGTGTTGTGTGTGTGAGGGGGGTGGGTATGATAAAGGACTTCCAGCCAAGCCATGAGATTACTAAATCGTTTGTCATATGAAGCTTCATTTAAACTTATTTCATCGTTTCCATCATATTATTATTATGAACCTGAAAGAATGTCATGCACATTGGCACTTTCCATTTCAAAATGTAAAAACCACAATAAAAGATAACGGAAAATAACAAGACGTTCTAATAATACTGTGAGAGTTCTTGCTCTTTCTTGAAACCTCAACAACAAAAATTCTAAATTGCTGTGTGATAAAGGTCTGAGTGGGCAAAGTGGAACAAGTGTCCGTGATTTTTAAGGTTTTTTCTGTTTAAGCATTGTTGAAGTTTTCTACACAACTGCCTGGTACTATTTATAGAAATATTGTGAGGCATTTAGAAACTGTTTGTTCAAGAAGACAGGGAGCTAAAAAGGGGAACAATTTTAGGATTAACAGTAAAGATTCCACGCTGCTCCATTTGAGTGATTAGCGGCACACGGACACAGTTGGTAATAGTTTACATCGAAAATCCAGACCCATTTCCTTGTACTTACCACTAAAGGCAACATCCAACTAACTGTTAGAGCTATGGATTTATTCCCTTTTACTATACTCACATGGGTGTATTACGAATCTTGCTTGCCAAAAGAACTCAGTATGAACATACAGCAAAAACAGACTCGGAAGGCAAAAGCATCTGGGCAGGTTTTGAGGATCAGACTATTGTCACTGTACTTCAAATAACGTAAGACGCAAAACAGACCAAACAGTACCGCCGCCCACCCTTTCCCTCCACAATTATCCCCCCCCACATGAAATCACTCATAATCGAAACTTTACTTATTTATGACTTCCAAGTACATGGTTACATGCAGGGGACTATCGTGTTCTAGGGTACGGTCTCTGCCTCTGATTTAAAAGGTCCCGGTTCGAAATATTACTTATCTTTTCTTTAATAAGTCTCCTTTCAAAATCTTTTCTGCTCTCTAATCGTACTCTGTTGTCTGCGTTCGTCTCCAATTTTTGCCCCCCTCCCCATCCCCCCTTTGCCTCCTCCTCTGGGCTTCTAACTCTTTCTACTGCCGTTCTACTGCTACTCCTTGGCTCCTTCTTACTGCTGTCTTTCAGCCACACCCCTGAACTTAGGGTAGGTAAGATCTAACGCCAGACCTTCTTGAATATGGGCTTAAAAAACCCGAGGTGCAGTCTGCAAGTTGCGCACTTTTTAAAGATCCCTAATTGGTGGTCCTAAAATTGATCAAAGTAGGCTTTGGCCGCCACCCGGTAGAATTCGAAATTGAGTCCCCCACAATGCGAAAATGATTAATGTGTCCCAAACGCTCATAATATGACCTTATGCAGTTACAAGCGCCGTAAAACACTCACCAAAAGAAAATGTTTCAAAGTTACCTGCCGAAAGTGGTTGTGACCAGCATTTAGATCAGCAAGACCCACAGTTGTCTAGTATTCAAACATTTCGACTTCCTCGCTGCCAGAGGTTTTTTTTCGGTTTGTTTATTTATTTATTTCGACCTATTAATTTTTGTTGCGTGAGGCTCATGTGAATTAGCAATTTACATTTTCGTCGCGTGCAGCAAGTATTTTCGTTCATTGGCCCTATAGTAAAAAGAAAGTTAGAAGAGAGTTCACAATCTATCCAAAAAGACAATAGTAGAACTGGCAAAGCGTGCAGATGCATAATGAACATGACCAGGTGTTCATGGTTCCAAGTGACATCGAAATTTCTCTGAGCAATATAAGAGAGGTTAGGATAATACCCCCACTCACCCCCACCCCCAAAAAACAATAATAAATAAATAGATAAATAAATAAGTAATATAAAAAAATAATAATTTGAGTTTGAGCCAATCTGCGGGAAAATGCTCCGTGACATCTCACACGAAGTGGGGATGGGAAGGGGTAGGAGGTGTCATTTCAGGTCATAAATATTTCTGTTCTGCTTTGCATCCAGCTGTTTATAAATACCAGGGAGAACAAATTGGTTTTAAATATGTCACACGGAATGTCGCCATTGCGACAGTCTAGTTATCAAAGATAGCTAAGACCGTCGTTAGTTTTAGTAGAAAGGTGTCGTAGATTTTGTAAGTGTTCAATAACATTAATCTATTATTTCGTCCGATTGGACAACTGAATTCAGTCATATATACGAGTACATTGGTGTCTTCAAATTATACCACTTGTAATTAGTAAAACTGTAAGTTGTTTGATGTCGATTTGTGAACTTATGATAGGCACTTGACATGAATTCTCCTCACTTCACCCAAGTGGGAATGGGTACCTGACTATAGACAGCAGAAGATTTTGTCAGTTTGTTAGTGTTTGGGCTGTTGCAATCCACAGTCCGTACTGTATGATTGCCTGGAAACGAGAATGTTTCCGGGTGTTCAAGGGTCTGCTGGGGTAATAATAGTTGTAAATCACGTAGAGCACGCTATATAGCGTGTATTATGCGCTCTATAAAAGCAAAAATTAATATCTATTACTTTTATTATTGTTAGTATTATTATTACTATTATCATTATAATTATTATTATTATCATTATTATTATTATTATTATTATTATTATTATTATTATTATTATTATTATTATTATTATTATTATTATTATCATTATTATTATTATTTTTATTGTTGTTGTTGTTGTTGTTATTATTATTATTATTATTATTATTATTATTATTATTATTATTATTATTATTATTATTATTTTTATAGTCATCATCATTATCATTATAATTATTATAACTATAATTATTTTTATTTTTATTATTATTACCATTATTGTTGTTGTTGATGTTGTTGTTATCGTTTATTATTATTATTATTATTATTATTATTATTATTATTATTATTATTATTATCATTATTATTATTGTTGTTATTATTATCATTATTATTATTGTTGTTATTATTATTATTTTCATTATTTTTATTACTATTGTTTTATTATTATCATTATTATTATCATTACTATCATCTTTATTATTATCATTATTTCCATTGTGAGAAGGGGGAAAAGGGATGGGGGGGAGGGAATCGGATTATATATTTTGAGCTCCTTTAGACACAGCCTTAATCATGTTAATCGTATATATTAGGCGGGCTGCTTTGTCTTTTAGGTGAAGCTGTGACGACTCTACCACTCCTCAACAGACGCCGGTCAGCAAAGTATTTATCAAAATACAGTTTTGTATTTCGTAAACCCGAGGTGGTCAATACTAAAGCAAATCAACTTTATAAATCATATCTTAGTGGCAATTCTTTTTCTATCCATAAGGAATATATTTGTCCGCGACACCTGTACAGCAATTGAGGATTAATCTTTTTTTGCACCCATGCTTATGGAACGAGGATTTTGGTGCTAGTCAAGTGTGTTCAATACAAATAATAATATTTGGCATATTATGTCTAGTATTAATTATGAAAGATGTTAGAGTTAGAAAGAAAAAATATCCACATACTCAACCTATAATACCCTTTAATCCAAAGTACCGTATATACTTACTTACTTTTTACTTTACTTTTACTTTTTCATCCTCTGTTACCGTTAAGCGTCGAGGGGAGACGCAGTTTTCCATTGTAGGCCAGTTCCACAGCTCTTTCAGTTGTGATGTTATGCTTTCTTAGCGTTTCCTTGACACCCTCGATCCACTTTTTGAGTGGCCTTCCTCTTCCTTTATAGCCTGAGTGCTTGGTGCTGTAGGCTCTCGAGGCTGGCTGGTCAGGTGACATGCGTAACAGGTGGCCAAACCATTTTATCCTCTGTCTTACCATGTAACGCAGGCAGGACTCAGTGCCGATAGCTGCTCTTACTTCTTTATTTCTCTGCCTGTCTCGTCTTGTGATGTTAAGGGTTTTGCGGAGACATTTCATTTCGCATGCGGTGATTTTGCATATTATATACCTATCTATAACATGACTTCGCGTATAATACGGGGAATATATTTTGACTCCACAGTCGGACCAAATGTATAGGTCTCGGGTAAAAAATGGGTTGAATTTCTGACGTGTTGGAAGAGGCTCAACACGCGTGAAATCAGTACTATTCGGGCATTAAATTTTAATAAAGTGTCTTGCTTTAACTCTTTGATCTAGCGTCCTTATTTCTCCTCATTTTGTGTGTATGTTTCTCTCCGGTCACACCTCTAATCTTCGGTACTTATATGACCTAATTGTGTCGCAAGTCCCTCTACATGCTTATAAAGGGTGTCCATAGGCATCATCGGTTCGGCTCGGCTCGGTTTTGACGTTTTGGTTGAATTGGGGCTAACCCTAGACGGTCAGAGAGATCGTAAGAATGTATAGGGCTAACCGGATTGTCCTCCGTGGGAGAGGCAAAACCGACAAAACTGATCATGACCTTCAATAACAAACGCGTTTGTTTTCAAGGCCACGCGTCGGGCGAGGGTTTGGGCAGTTGGTCTATTGAGAGTGTTCCGAAGCCGCCAGAAACCGAACCGAACCAAACTGGAACGGTCCTCCAATGGGCACCGTCTTTTACTAAAACAACAAATAACTCTTTGAGGACGTCGTGGACACGTATATCCGATAAACAGAGGACGAAAGACAATGTTGCTGCACATCTCGAACCAACATTCGAAAATTACAAACACAAACTTGAATATTTCTCAGTATGCATGTTGCTGCCTGCCTTATTAATTTATATAAAGAAAACAGAAATGAGAAATCTGTATGAATAACGAATAATAATATAATAATATGCTTTTTTTAAGGAGGGGGGGGGGTTGGTTTCAAAGTTGACGATTTCAATGGTATATTAGGGTACAAATTTCAATGTTTCCAAACTTAATAAGCTATCGAAGTTTCCAGTATCAGTATGATCAATAACCTACAGACGAATCTATAATTTTGAACTGATTCTCATAAGAGGTTAATGAGGTTAGAGAGATAGAATGCCAAGGAGATGCTTGGTCTATTTACTTTTCTTTCCCTTTTTCTCCCAGAATGGTCACAACACGTTTTTGGCGGACCGTTTGTCCCGCCCATTCGCAACTTCCGGTCGCATTTTTTGCTCTGCTGCTGTTGCTTCCGGTCGACTGCTCAGAGCGAACAGAAGACATGTCGGAAGGGAGAGAAATCTTGCAAAGCCTTTATCAGAACCCTTCAGTGAGTTATCGCCCTTTGGATCTGGTCTTTGTACTTGATCGGTCTGCTTCAGTGAGTCGAGCAGGATGGGACGCGATGTTGAGGTTTGTGCTCTCTATCTATCTATCAGTCTATCCATATCTATCTGTCTATCTATCTATCTATCTATCTATCTATCTATCTATCTATCTATCTATCTATCTATCTATCTATCTATCTATCTATCTAACTATTTATATATCTATATTCCCCCCCCTCTCTCTCTCTCTCTCTCTCTCTCTCTCTCTCTCTCTCTCTCTCTCTCTCTCTCTCTCTGTAATACATAGACACACACACACACACACACACACACACACACACACACACACACAAACACACACACACACACACACATACACTTTCAGTGTCTCAGTCTTTAGTCTACATCTCCTTCCTCCTTCTCTTTCTCTCTTTCTCTTTCTCTCTCTATTTCTCTATCTATCTGTCTATCTATCAATCTATATATCTATCTATCTCTTCGCTAAACCGTTTCTCATTATAACAGCAGGCTTATTTTTCTCATTTGCTACCTTCTAACTTTAAAACTTACAGAAACGTTTGAACTTCGGGGTTTTTCCCCTTTAGGTTCGTGTCAAGTCTACTAGAACACTTCACAGTGGATCCGAACAACACTCGAGTCGCCGTCATCACTTACGCTACCTTCGCAACCATCGACATTGACGGTATCCGGACCGGCAGCCACACAAAGTGCTCACTCAATGCCCGGCTCGAGAGACACACTCTTCGCAAAGTGCCTGGAGGCTACTCCGCCGCACATTCCGCTCTCATGCTGGCAGCATCCATTCTCGTTGACTCTCGCCGCGACTCTCGGAAGGCGGTGATCGTGGTCACGGATGGAAAGTCCAATATAGGACCTCCCCCAGTGCGAGCCGCTGTGAGTTTATTGATGTTTTTAAATCACAACCACGGCACTAATGTGACTTTATTGTGTTGAAAGCGCCATAAAACTTTTACTACAAAACAAAAGAAAAAACTCTTACAACCAGGTCTACTCCATAGTGTTACCAACGAACTGGGGACGGTTTGGGGCCTGGCAGTTGAAAGTATATGGATGAGCACAAGAAATGACGGAAGACTTCAAAACAAGATTGAGCCCTAGTAATTGGAGATTGAAAGCAAAACTGAGCTTATATGAGTGAATGGACTTCAAAACAAACTGAGCCTTAAATTAAAGTTGTCAAAGCAAGACTACGACCTAAATATTAATTGAAGGCCTCAAAATAAGGCTTTGATCTAAATATCGAACATCCCCAAACAAGACAAAGCCATAAAATAATACATGACCTCAACAGAAGACTGAGCCTAATATTCTATTCACTAACTGTCAAGTCAGAAGATCGACTGATGTCTTGATCGACTGGTGGCTTTCTTTGTTGATTTATTGTTCCGTTGGGTGCATGGTGTATTAAGTGATCAATGGAGTTGCTGATACATTATATTGATATTTTTGCAATGCATACTGGACAGTTCTTCTGATTTCTTCCACATTATGTCTGTGTCTGTCTTTCTGTCGGTGTCTTACGTTCTAAACAGCAGCAGCGTTACATAAAATTATTCTTAAGGAGAAAGGGGTGTTAAAATCGAATTAACTGACCATGCCCATGTGAACTCTCTTAAATCTTCTTCGTGGATAGATTCACAACCATCAATAAATGACTATTGTTCTTAATCAATTCCCTAAAGGTGTACTTGCGGTCTCTCGTGTGGGACCCCCAGTGGAACACGACCAGCGACGGTCCCCAACTACAGCTCTACGCCTTTGGAGTTCGCCACGCCTATATGCCGGAAGTTCGTAGTCTGGCATGGCCTCAAACAAACCACAGCTTCTACGTTCCAGACTTTAGACATTTTGCTATGCTGGCACGTTCTCTGCATGATGGTTAGTCGCTGTCTCATTTGACGTGGGGAGGTGATGTGTCTGTATGTGTGTGTATGTGAGCGTGGGGGAATGTATGTGTGTAGCTGTTTGTTTGTGTGTATGTGTGTGCATGTGTGTGTATGTGTGCGCACGCGTCTCTGTTTGTGTGTGGATATACAAGGAGCAAGACACGCTAATCAAACTCTAAATCAATGCCCAATTCTACGAAAACCAACTTTGATGTGTTTGTGAAATATTTGTTAAATGCTCAGAATGACGTGTAAATAAAGACGCGTATTATATTACGCGAAATTGATTTTGAGAGGGCCTTCTTTAAAGGTCAGCATTTGTATAACATGCGATTTTATACCATATATTCTTCCATAGGTAAAAATAAGAAGCAGATATTAAATGATGCCAGTATTTTCATGCCTTCTCTCTTTTCTTCTTATGTACCTGCAATAAAGTTTGTTTGTTTGTTCGTTTGTTTGTTGTTTTTCCAGACGAACAGACAGAAACATGGCGCGTAGCGGGACAGGGATCTTTGTGTGGGGGATTATGTCATGAACAAGCAATTTGCGCATGCGCAACGAGGCAAGGCCGTTATACATGCGTGTGCAAGGAAGGATACCAGGGCGACGGGATCACGTGTACGGGTGAGTACCTTTAAGGTGGGAAGATGGGTGGGAATGTATTCTAGATCTATTGTTTATTCGTGTTGGTTGAAGGGGTGTGATTAGAATGTGTAAAATGTGGTGGGTGCCATTGAATGTGCTGGGATAAGATGGGGAGTGATGTGTCGAAACAGAAGTATGGACAATGGGGTTTGGTGGCATTAATCATAATTAGTGCTTTTGTGGGATTAGGTGAGGTGGGGGTGCGAAAAGTGATGAAACAGGTTTTAATAGGGTGAGGAAAAGTGAGGCAATGTGGTACGGGAGGTGAAAGGATTTGATGGTGCGAAAAGAGTGTGGTGTACTGGGATGGAGTATGATTAGATGTATTATTAGTATTAAAGATCGGGCAGGGATTGATGTGTGTTACTGAATGTAATAAAGCATGGTGTTAAAGAGTGGGGAAGGGTGAGACAAGATGGAATGAAAGATGGTAGGGTTTAACGATGTAAAAAATTGTGATGGGATTTTTTAAGGTGTATAAAATGGGTGGAACAGCTTGTGATTGGTGTTGTGAAGTCTATAATGTAGCGTCGCATACACAAAAAGCAAGTTCTATTTCCGTGTGAGAAGAATTTGTATCGAGTATCCTGGTCAGTCTGTTTGGACATTGTATTCCACTCAGCCTAGGTTGGCACTGGCAGGTGGGGTCAAAGACTACCTTCTAAAATATATAAAGTGTATCTATTGACGCTTTAAAACACCTAAATCTTTTTTTTAAATAACTAATGTGATGGATGTGATAGATGGACCTAAAAAGATAAATAGAAATATATATATTATTGCACATTCTGATACTATTTATAGGGTTGATGCATTTTGTAAGAAAACTGTTGGAGCAATTGTTCAAGAAAGGAAACGAAACAGAACGTCTTTATTAGTGCTACTTAACTGACAATGTCCACAATAATACTGAGCTTGGGCTGTTCAGGACTTTTCAATTTTAGAGTAAACTGTCTCTTGCACAAAACATTCTTTGGCTCCACTCAGAAAACTGTAAAATTAAGAGTCGCCGGCCCAGAGTACTGAATGCCTCTTCATTAATTTCCCCTGTGATATGATTGTTCAATTATTTGTATCGTGAATTTAATTCATCAACATAATACCAGTATCAGTGGTGTCATTATTTGGTTCTTCTGTAAAATTATATTTATTGCGTCCTATGTGATGCTGGCCAATGGCCTTAAACACTGAATAAAACTCTCACCTACCTACCTACCTACCTACCTACCTACCTACCTACCTACCTACCTACCTACCTACCTACCTACCTACCGACCTACCGACCGACCGACCGACCGACCTACCTACCTACCTACCTACTTGTCAACCTACATACCTACCCACCTACCTACCTAACTATAATAATAATAATATATCTTTGGAGTTATCTTTTATTAAATGTTTCAGCCTGCCCTCGGGGCACGTACAAAGGGGGCGTGTCCCCGTCCCGCTGTGCGTCATGTCCGGCCAACAGCAGCACCCAGCACGAGGCAGCTATTGCCGTGTCTCAGTGTGTCTGTCGCCCGTCGCTCTACCGGGAGGCGCCAGGGGAACCCTGTCACGGTAAGGCGGTTAAAAGCACAAAAGAAAAGAAAGAAAACAAAACAAAGAAGGAATAAATCGTCTCTTGGAAAGTTTGAATATCTTTATTTTAAAAATAAGGGGGGGGGGGGGGGGACAAAGCAAAGAGGGAATAAATCGTCTCTTGGTAAGCTTGATGTTTAAAAACATTTTTTAACGGAAAACAAATTCAAAACCAAGCAGAGATGGAATAAATCGTCCTTGGTACAGTCTAATGATCTAAAGGAACAAACAAAACTACGAGTCAAAACAAATAGGGAATAAATTGTCTGTTGGTAAAATCTGATTATCTAAAACAAAAACAAAATTATAAGATGTAAAATGTTTTAAAAACAAATTCAATAACAAACCGAGAGGGTATAAATCATCTCTTGGTAAGTCTGAAGATTTGGGGGGGGGGGGGGGGGAGACCGCGTAACTAAACAAAGAGGGAATAAATCGTCTCTTGGTAAATCTTATCGAAAGACAGAACCGCGAAACCAAGCAAAGAGGGATAAAGCGTCACTTGGTAGGTAAGAAAAAACAAAAACACGAAATGAAGCCGAGAGGAAAAGTTTGTGACACCAATCAGACGCTTCTGTTGTATCGAGGGTTGAAAAATTAACTGTTTATGTGTTACGATTTAATGGCGTGAATGCAGATACAAACTAAGACCCTCCTCCCGGCCCTCTAGGGCAGTGCTACTGACTGAACTTGTCTGTAGGCCATTTCCAAAGGGGGGATATTAACATGTTCTTAAGCACAGTGCAGTTGTAAATGGGCTGATTTATCAATGCCATGCTCAAACTGTGCCGGAACAACATAGGGTATTTTCTTTTCACTTCGGGCCCGTCACAAGCTCAGTTGATATTATGCAGGACAAAACAAAACGAATGACACTAGTTCAATCAATTGTTGTTGTTGTTGTTGTTGTTGTTGTTATTGTTAAGAAAGGTTTTTGGGGTTGTTTTGTTTTGTTTGGGGGGGGGGGTGGTTGGTCGTACGTGGTTGTTTTTTTTATTTTGTTTTGCTTTGTTTTGTTTTGTTTTATTTTGTTGGGGTGGGTGGGGGGGGGGGTATCTCCACATGACTTGGTCATTTTGGAGATGGGTTTTAAGCATGACAGCCAAGGTTATCCCTCACAAGTTGGAACAGAAACCCGCCTCTTAAATGATCGAAATTGTGTCTTTAGTTTTGTTTTAGTAGAGGTTGTACGGCGTTCGCAAGTGCATAAGGTCATATGAGCGCCAAGGGGTGGATGTCAACAGAGAAGTCCTTACAGTGAATTAGACTTACTCTGCTCACCTCTCTAGCTTCTTTAGCACAAAGTCTGCTTCGACTATCAAGGCACCCAGGAAATAACGGTCATAATAGTGTGACAGACATACAAAAGAAGTAGAGGAAAAAATGACGATAGTAAGGAAAAGGAAAGAAAGGGCAGCAGTTCCCTTTTGCAGTTCAGGCACAGTTATAAGTATGACATTGATGAATCAGCCCATTTACAATTACAATTTTACTGCGGATAAGAACTCGATGTTAATCCCCCCCCCCCCCTTTGGAATAGCTTAAAGACACTTCAGTCAGTAGCTCCGCCCGCGGGGGGGGGGGGTGTTAATTGTGTCAATGGGTACGTAAAAGCACGTACATAAAAAATAACAGTGCTAATAAGGGCGTTTAACCCATACATACCACACTTTTCAAAATTGTTCTCTCCATCCACCATAGTTTACTTGGTATGTATAGTTGAGTACCCTCATCAGCTGCAGGTTTCCTCATGGTTCAAGGGTATCTTGTCGACGCCACATCTTGAATATGAATTTTAATGTCAAATTATTTTTCTGAACCCCATCTTGATTGCCACCGTAATACTGATGGCCTCCAATTTCACTTACAAATCATTATTCCCACCTCGTTGACTACTCCCCCGTCCCACTCCAACCTTCGATTCCACATCAAAACTCTCGAAATCCGATTTCAAATCCGAAATACATTTTCACACTCCTCACCTCCCCTCCCCAACCCCACCTCCTTAACCCCAAACTCATCCTCATCCTGCCCTCCTGCAACCCCCCCCCCCCCCCCCC